AGTCAGGTTGAAAATCGCCCAGAAGTCTCTCATAGCCTGTCATGTAAAATCTATTTTTTTCACATTTCAAAGCTTTCAATACATTCTCTATGGGTGTCTGTGGGCTTGCACTTACGCGCTTTCGTCATACATAACGTAACCACGAATGAACGTAACTAAGAAAAGACCAGGTAGCAGCCTCAATCAATTCACTACTACTATCAAAATGGCTAGGCTTCAGTCCAACTCGATTGTGTCTTTGAAAGAAGTTCCTTTTTGTCGGCGAACAAATTAAGATAAATTGGCAACGAAACAATTAGGACCTCCCAGACCAAATTTAATAATTCAACAGGTTTCTACTAAAGGCGGAAAGTCCTACACCCGAGGATTTTCCAAAAATTGGTACGAACGAAAAAAGACATTGCGACTCACTCAACTGGATGACGAGGGATACAGGCTAGCTGTCCGCCGCCACAACGATGAGGTTAGTGTTGATAATCACAAGTTTACTGGATGTGGATATGGTGTAATAAAGGCAGTTTATTCAGAGGTAAATATATCTGGAATCGCGTTCACGGACCCGTTCGTCAAACTCTTAGGGAGCTATACATTAAGCCCCATTACTTACCATATCAGATAAGAGAAATTGCTGCAGCTACATATATTTTACATCCTGGCCCTACATAGTTCACTATTTGCATCACTTACCAAAATATTACATGTGGTCATATATGCTTGGAAAGTGGAGATGCCATAGAACGTCAAAAAAGTAAACATTGCTGGAGACACATTGTCGTTTTGGAGAAGACATCGCGTTTGCTAGCGAAGAGATTTGCTGTGGCAAATGAACTTGGCCTGGGAATTGCCAGGAACCTCACGATAAGATATATGCATCAGCATTGCGAGTCTCATGATTCTATACGTATTGCGATTCGATACTGTGATTTTATTGCGCACCATATGTCTGTTGCAGAGGGATCAGAAAGCCATGAGAACGAGTTTTGATCAGTCATGGAAATAAAAGTGCTGAAAACTAATTGGCTCCCAATGTGAAAAGATTGAGAACAAGCTATGAAGGAACAATAATGGTGTTTTGGTGCACGTACAGCCAACTAGCGCTAAAATATTGCGATATTGTCAATACAGTATATCGTAAAGTATCACTATGTAACTCGATTTCTTTCACCCCAATCCCTCAAATTAACGGTAAATAACTGAATTGTTTGCCCCACATTTAGCTAAGATGATTAGCTAGCCAGCTAAAATGTTTTATTTAGTTAGCAGTCGCATCTACAATAGTTTACTGTCAATAACATGTCTCCAGAAATGACGTGGTGTCTCCAATTGTGTTGACATTTTACAATTGCAATGCGCATCCATGAGTATCCACTTTCTGTAGCTCAGCTGGTAGAGCATGGTGCTTGTAACGCCAAGGTAGTGGGTTCGATCCCCGGGACCACCCATACACAAAAATGTATGCACGCATGACTGTAAGTCGCTTTGGATAAAAGCGTCTGCTAAATGGCATATTATTATTATTATTATTATTATTATCTGAAGAGAGCCCCGAAACATTGTGTGCAGACATTTTATGCAATAAATGAAGTAGGTTCAATCTAGTAGTTCTGATCTTCTGATTGGTCCTGATGAGTTGGGCGAGGTCACCTCCAGGCTACTGTCACTGTTGCATTGGCTCTGAGTCGGGTTCTCTGTCTTCAAATGTTCAGCCTAAGAGAGGGGATTTTTGTGTGTGTGTGTGTGTGTGTGTTTAACAGTGATGATGTGTGTGTGTGTGTGTGTGTTTAACAGTGATGATGTGTGTGTGTGTGTGTGTGTGTGTTTGTGTGTGTGTGTGTCCTCAGAGCAAGAACTCGTGAGTTGGAAGAACTGAGAGGCCTATGGCGTGGGTGTTGTCCTTGGCCACCTGCTGACAAGGCTGACAAGATAGGACCCTTTTGTCCATTGTTATTGGATAGGAACAGAACTTATAACCAGCTCCTGACCTAAATAGATCTTAGCACAACATTTTACTCAACATATCATATTCCATATTCACTATAACAAATATATTTACTACGACATTAGCAAGAACCGCCACATCCTCAGCCGGCTAATCCAGTGTGTGAAGTTTTGCGGAGTGTTTGAGTTAGCTTTGCGAGGCAAAGATGAAACTGAGGGCTCCACCAACCCTGGTAAGCCAACACTTTTGAGATCAGTCAATAAATGCTTCTGGTATTGACTTATATGCTGCCCCTGTCTTCATGTTGTTGCTGGACATATCTTTTTTTTAAATGTGTGTAGGTCACCTAAATCATCAGAAAAATTGCCCCTCCTGAGAATTTTTTCAGGAGCCGCCACTGCCTGCAGGTGCAATCAACCAGCCTACATACCACCTGTGTATAGTTAGTCAAGATCAATAATGACTGTGCAATACATTTAAAGTAGTGTAAAACTGTTCGAGTCATTGTCTCAGCACAGCAGGGTTAGAGCGATATGCAAACGAACAGTCATGAGGCTTATTGCTGCTCATCAGGATGTTGTAGGAGGCGGTAGAGCATGTCCACTGGATAGGGCTGAGTGACTGAACTGTGTGAATGGTTCTGTAGGTGTATGTGGAGGAGAGAGCGAGGGAATATCAGACTGGCTCTGTATAATTGATCAGCCCCTCAGACAGGGCGTATGTATACATTCAGAGAAGTAGGCCAATAGTCGTGTTCACAACTGAAGAGTATAGCCTACGTCTGCCTTTCAGTGAGCAGGAAATGATGTTTGTGAAGTATACCCATACCAATTTAAAGGCTTATTTTAACTTACTGTATTGGCTGATGCACCTACATGAAGTTCATGACGACCTGCTCTAAAGCCATACTGTGCCTTTCTCCTGCGGGAACATTCAGAACTCACTCACACACACACACACAAGCAATGACTGGATATTGTTGTGTTAGATGTGTAAGCAATAGCTAAGTTAGCTATGCAAAGTGCCAGATAGGTAACCATTTACAGTAATTGCAATTAATTATTACTCAGTCAATAAGCACCATCAACCAGCCAGAAGATCTACCTAAGTTAGCTACAGAAATTAATGGAGAAATCTGACCTTTCTGTAGCAGGTAGCTCTGGCCGGGCAGCTCCATCTTGTAGCATGTTCAGGGACTAACTTACTTCCGCTAGCTACTACTAGCTAGTGTCACAGGGTTGCTTATGTTTCCACTTGACACTGCAGAAATAGACTGAACAAAAATATAAAAGCAACATGTAAAGTGTTGATCCCATGTTTCATGAGCTGAAATAAAAGATCCCAGAAATGTTCCATATGCACAAAAAGCTTATTTCTCTAAAATGTTGGGCACAGATTTGTTTACATCCCTGTTAGTGAGTGTTTCTCCTTTGCCAAGATAATCTGAAACAAACAAGACAAAAAAACTGAAAACTAACTATTCACCCCCCCCAAAGTCAATATTTGTAGAGCCACCTTTTGCAGCAATTACAGCTGCAAGTCTCTTGGGGTATGTCTCTATAAGCTTGGCACATCTAGCCACTGGGATCTTTGACCATTCTTCAAGGCAAAACTGCTCCAGCTTCTACAAGTTGGATGGGTTCCGCTGGTGTAAAGCAATCTAAGTCATACCACAGTTTCTGGGCTTTGACTTGGCCATTCCAAGACATTTAAATGTTTCCCCTTAAACCACTCGAGTGTTGCTTTAGCAGTATGCTTAGGGTCATTGTCCTGCTGGAAGATTAACCTCCGTCCCAGTCTCAAATCTCTGGAAGACAAACAGGTTTCCCTCAAGAATTTCCCTGAATTTAGCGCCATCTGTCTTCCTTCAATTCTGACCAGTTTCCCAGTCCCTGCCGATGAAAAACATCCCCACAGCATGATGCTGCCACCACCATGCTGGTGTCCTCGGGGTGATGAGAGGTGTTGGGTTTGCGCCAGACATAGTGTTTTCCTTGATGGCCAAAAAGCTCAATTCTAGTCTCATCTGTTTTTGATGTGTGAGTACTACGTTATCACAATCATACCATGAGTAGTTAATCATGAAACATACACCACGCCTTTCTTCTTCCCGGAGAGTTCTTTATTCCTGTCTGCACAATATATTGAGAACCCAGCTGGCTGTATGGCCGGGGACAGTATATCCGGAGAGAGCCATGATTCCGTGAAACAGATTATGTTACAGTCCCTGATGTCTCTCTGGAAGGAGATCCTCGCTCTGAGCTTGTCTACTTTATTGTCCAGGGACTGAACATTAGCGAGTAACATACTCGGACACGGTGGACGGTGTGCACACCTCCTGAGTCGGAATAGAAGTCCACTCTGAATACCTAGTCTCCGCCAGCTGCGTCTTGGATCAGCCTCTGGCATAAGTTCAATTGCCCTGGGGGGTACGAACAAAGGATCCAATTCGGGAATGTCATATTTCTGGTCGTAATGCTGGTGAGTTACCACCGTTCTGATATCCAAAAGTTATTTCAGGCTGTATGTAATAACACAAAAAATCGTTATGGGCTAATAATGTAAGAAATAACACACAAAAAACTGCAAAGTTGCTTAGGAGCTAGAAGCAGAGCTGCCATGTCTGTCGGCACCATCTTCATTCATGTGCAGCCAGCTAGTGTAAGTACACACACACACACACACACACACTCAGTCAATCAGTCAGCGCAAGCCAACTTTGTTCAGTTGTTGTTGAGTTTGTTCTATTGGCATGCTAAATTCATGATAAGTTCTGCATCTTAGCTAACATGAGTATTTTTATCTTCCTGTCACACTCACACAGTCTAGTCCATTGTTTGTGCTGCCAACCTAGGCTTTAAACACACCTAAACTCATTAATATTATATGAAGGGGCATGTACTTCAGGATATGAACAAAGCTCAAAATCAAAACATTTAATAAATCGTGTTATTTGTTTGTTATTCCATGTCCAATTTTGACACAATAAATGAGAAAACAAGTCCATTTCCGATTTTCGTTTTTCAAATGCAGAAACCAAAAACGAAAACGGGTCACCAGGTCTCAGTTCAGGGGTAGATCACTTACCCTCACTCAAAATTGCACAGGATGACATTTCAAATTGCGTTCAAACTCAGCAGGAGCAATGACAATGGCATCCTACAGGCTCACCTATTTCAACATGCGAGGTAGAGCAGAGCTGGCTCGGTATATCTTTGCCTATGCTGGAATAGCCTTCGAGGATCGCAGGGTGGAGTGGAAAGACTGGCCATCCATTAAGAAGAGTGAGTAATGTTTTAGAACCAGACCACTTCAACATCATTGACAGACAATAGGCTACTGAGCAGTTACCTGAGCTAATTGAGGAGCTATAAGAAAAATCGGTATGTGGCTGAATGGACTTCATGATCCCAACCCCTACCTACCCTGGTATAGCCTCCCTTTCCAGTGTTGTAGGTACCCACTGGGGAGGGACATTTGAATCAACGTTGTTTCTACGTAATTTGAATGTTGAATCAACGTGGGAAACTGATTGGATTTGCAAAAAGTCACCAACGTAAGGGAATTTCGTCTTTTCACCCAACATTTAACCTAAATGCAATAACATAGTAAAATGTTTGTTGAATTCACGTTAGTTTACAAGTCAACCATAGGAAATCAAAACTAAACGTTGAACTGATTGATGTCTGTGCCCAGCGGGACTCGGTCTCGAGATTGAGTGTCTCGGTGCGGTGTCGGATACATTTTTACAAGGTCAGTAAATACGTTTCCATCCAGTTCATGAGTGAAGTCATACCGTATATAAAAAAACAAGACAGCAGTGATGGAAACAGGAAGTTTCGCTACAATTGTATAAATGCCTACAGATAATTTGTTCATTCGACATGGTGGGATCTTTTTGTGTCGGTAAAATGTATAATGCGAGAAACTGCATCATATCTAAGCAAACGATATATGGTGTGTGGTCCTCCCACTACGACTCGGGAACCGATGCAGTTTATTAGGCTACAGATTAAGTAAATTATGATGAATTTCACAGGGTGTTGAAAGTGCATGCTATGACCTTGATGCTCCTTTCCAATAAATATCGAGGGTTTTATCTTATTCTGGTGACATGATGGTCGATGCTTGACTGCCGTGTGACAAATACAAATATTCTCGCTCTTATCCGTAATAATCTCATCATGTGGACTAGCCTTCCTGTACTGTATCTGCGAGCTGTTGGCTAGAGCGCATGTGCCAAGACTAGAGGAGGCACGTTTGCTATTTAACGCAACATATATTTTTTTTACAAAACTATCGGTAGAGTTGAAAATGCGATGGAAACACATTTAACTTTAGATTTGTATTCGGTACAAATCAGTTTGGTGGAAACACACCACTGGAGGGAAAATGTGCATATTTTCTTTATGCTGATTTTAGAATATTCATATGAAAATCTGTCGCCAATTGGATGGAAACCTAGATACTGAGGAGTCCAGTAAAAAAAAAACTCAATTATCAGCTCCCATTCAGTGAGTGCATAAAACCGTTAGCCAGTCAAAATATCCTCACTCCTCCCCTTACGAAAAAAGATTGCAGTCAGAATGCAGTATAACTGCAGGATGCGGCAAATACTGCATCCAAAATAACCGTTTTTCTTTACTGCCATAATTTTGCAGTGCAACTACAGTTAGAACGCAGTATAGCTGCAGTTCAACTGCAGTTACTGCACTTTTACTGCAGTTTCAAAACTGCAATCTTTTTTTTGTAAGGGTTTTATGACACATTCATATCTTATTGCCTATTGAAACCTGGATTTCCTACTTTACTCATAACATTACTGCACTTGTCAGAATTTCCTTGATTTGCTGGTAGGGAAGAGTGGGGGAAATTGTTTGAAAGTTGCACACTCAGTATTAGTAAGGGGAGACCGGGGGAAGCTGTAACATGTTTGGTCTTTTTATCTATTATAGACCTGTTTGGCTCAGTGATCATTTGTAGAGTGACTCTCTATTTGTCCTCAGCATGCATTTTTTCAACATTCTGAATGCCTAAAGAATCCACATTCTTCTGAAATATGAACGCAGAAATACTGGACATTTTGACCTCTTACAGTTGAAGTCGGAAGCTTACATACACTTAGGTTGGCGTCATTAAAACTCGTTTTTCAACCACTCCACACATTTCTTGTTAACAAACTATCGTTTTGGCAAGTCGATTAGGACATCTAATTTGTGCAAGACAAGTAATTTTTCCAACAATTGTTTACAAACAGATTATTTCACTTATAATTCACTGGATCACAATTCCAGTGGGTCAGAAGTTTACATACACTTAGTTGACTGTGCCTTTAAACAGCTTGGAAAATTCCAGAAAATTATGTCATGGCTTTAGAAGCTTCTGATGGGCTGATTGACATAATTTGAGTCAATTGGAGGTGTACCTGTGGATGTATTTCAAGGCCTACCTTCAAACTCAGTGCCTCTTTGCTTGACATCATGGGAAAATCAAAAGAAATCAGCCAAGACCTCAGAAAAAAAATGGTAGACCTCCACAAGTCTGGTTCATCCTTGGGAGCAATTTCCAAATGCCTGAAGGTATCACGTTCATCTGTACAAACAATAGTATGCAAGTATAAACACCATGGGACCACGCAGCCGTCATACTGCTCAGGAAGGAGACACATTCTGTTTCCTAGAGATTAACGTACTTTGGTGCGAAAAGTGCAAATCAATCCCAGAACAACAGCAAAGGACCTTGTGAAGATGCTGGAGGAAACAGGTACAAAAGTATCTATATCCACAGTAAAACGAGTCCTATATCGACATAACCTGAAAGGCCACTCAGCAAGGAAGAAGCCACTGCTCCAAAACCGCCATAAAAAAGCCAGACTATGGTTTGCAACTGCACATGGGGACAAATATCTTACTTTTTGGAGAAATGTCCTCTGGTCCGATGAAACAAAAATAGATCTGTTTGGTCATAATGACCATCGCTATGTTTGGAGGAAAAATGGGGTTGATTGCAAGCCGAAGAACACCATCCCAACCGTGAAGCACGGGGGTGGCAGCATCATGCTGTGGGGGTGCTTTGCTGCAGGAGGGACTGGTGCACTTCACAAAATAAATGGCATCATGAGGAAGGAAAATTATGTGGATATATTGAAGCAACATCTCAAGACATCAGTCAGGAAGTTAAAGCTTGGTCGCAAATGCGTCTTCCAAATTGACAATGACCCCAAACATACTTCCAAAGTTGTGGCAAAATGGCTTAAGGACAACAAAGTCAAGGTATTGGAGTGGCCATCACAAAGCCCTGACCTCAATCCTATAGAACATTTGTGGACAGAACTGAAAAAGCTTGTGTGAGCAAGGAGGCCTACAAACCTAACTCAGTTACACCAGCTCTGTCAGGAGGAATTGGCCAAAATTCACCCAACTTATTGTGGGAAGCTTGTGGAAGGCTACCCGAAATGTTTGACCCAAGTTAAACAATTTAAAGGCAATGCTACCAAATGCTAATTGAGTGTATGTAAACTTCTGACCCACTGGGAATGTGATGAAAGAAATAAAAGCTGAAATAAATCTCTACTATTATTCTGACATTTCACATTCTTAAAATAAAGTGGTGATCCTAACTGACCTAAGACAGGGAATTTTTACTAGGATTAAATGTCAGGATTTGTGAAAAACTGAGTTTAAATGTTTTTGTATGTAAACTTCCGACTTCAACTGTATTATGGTGGCGATTTGACAAAATTACAATCATGGTCTTGAATTGTACTCTCATTTTTCTGGTCTCTGTCTTGACTCAGTCTCGGACCCCTTGCCCCCCTCCCGGTCTTGGTTTTGACTCAGATTCGATTTGGTCTTGAATCGGTCTCGAACACAACACTGATATTTTCTATCCTATGTTTAGAAGTGTTGATGATGAACAACAACATACTTATTAACACTCTCTCAGCCTTTCCTTTAGGAAAGCTCCCGGTGCTAGAGGTGAATGGGCTCCTTCTAACCCAGAGTCTGGCCATTGCACGGTTCCTGGCAAAGGAAGCAGGTAATAATAATAATAATAATGTAGACTAATACATTTAAATTGTAAAGTGCTTTTCATTACAGTGTTTCCTCAAAACTCTACATAGGCAAAAATAATTATTATCAAATACAATAAAAACATACATTTTGAATCAAGAAGGAAATAGCAATAGTAGGCTAGGTGCTAAAAGGATCAGGACTATAAGAAAGACAGTCTGTAGAAATGCGTTTTAAGGCCCGTTTTAAAAGTTCAGATGGATGCAGTGGTTCTCAGATGGTCAGGGAGAGACTAGGGGCAAGGGAGCAGAAGGCTCGGTCCTCCATAGACTAGGGGCAAGGGAGCAGAAGGCTCGGTCCTCCATAGTACGAAGACATGTCTTGGGGACTTGAAGCAGTAGAGTGTGGCTGAAGTGGAGAGTGTGAGGTGGCTCACTGATAGAAATGAGGTTGCTGATGTAGGTGGGACTCAATACATTCACGGCTTTAAATACAAAGGGAAGGATTTTAAAGTCAACACTATATTTGAACGGTAGCCCGCTACTGTATACTAGTGATGACTAGTATTACCCAGCATGCACAGCTCAGATCTTAAAGGCACCCTACTGCACATTTTTATCTCAATATCAAATCATTTCTGGTTAACAATTGAGTACCTTACTGCAATTGTTTTCAATCAAAATGGTTAAAAAAAATTTTTTTATATTATCAAGAGCAATTTCTCAAGGAACATTTTTGCTAGGACTGTCAGAGAGGTTTGGAACTCTTTCTTATTGGTCTATTAAATAATTTACCACCTGGTGATGTCACCAGGCAGGCCAAACCTCCATCCCACCAAAACAGGCTGAAATTTCAGGCGATCAAACAGCTCTTACACTAAAAAGGGCATTATCATCGTTTTCACAGTATTATTCCAGCCTCATAATGTGGAAATATATATAAAACACAAGAAAATTACATTTTTGACTGCACTGGGTCTTTAACAATATCTTTCATAAGCTTGTTATGGTGAAACAGGTTAAGTAGCAAGAAGTAGAGGATATTCCAGAGCATTCTGTTCTCCTCTTGCATTTAATTAAATGTTCCATAAATGTTTTACATTTATGTTCAATATCAACTAGTTACTATATTTTTGTGGGCAAGATTAATTTAGCTCCTGCATCAGTGCAACATTTGGGACTATTTTTCAAGGAATATAAGGCAAAAGGAAAGAGACTACAAAGAGGAACATGAAATGCTTGGGAAGTCGGTAGCCACTGTGCTTTAGTAACAACTGTGTTCACTCCCTCGGCCAACTGTCTTTTCCAGGGCTTGTGGGTAACAGCAGACTAGCCGAGGCCCAGGGAGATGCTCTGGTCGACACCCTCAACGACTTCACCCTCTTAATCCCATGGAGAGAGGACGACCCACAGATCAAAGTAGGAAAGGCACAGAGGCCCAATCCCAAATGGACACCTGCAGTGCGTTCGGAAAGTATTCAGACCCCGTGAATTTTTCAACATTTTGTTACGTTACAGCCTTATTCTAAAATTGATTACATTGTTTTTTCCCCCTCATCAATCTACACACAATACCCCATAATGGCAAAGAAAAAACAGGTTTTTAGAAATTGTTGCTTATTTATATAAAAATATAAAAAACTGAAATATCACATTTACATATGTATTTCAGACCCTTTACTCAATACTTTGTTGAAGCACTTTTGGCAGCGATTACAGCCTCAAGTGATCTTGGGTATGACGCTACAAGCTTGGCACACCTGTATTTGGGGAGTTTCTCCCATTCTTCTCTGCAGATCCTCTCAAGCTCTTTCAGGTTGGATGGGGAGCGTCGCTGCACAGCTATTTTCAGGTCCCTCCAGAGATGTTCGATCAGGTTCATGTCCGGGCTCTGGCTGGGCCACTCAAGGACATTCAGGGACTTGTCCCGAAGCCACTCCTGTGTTGTCTTGGCTGTGTGTTAGAGTCATTGTCCTGTTGGAAGGTGAACCTTCGCCCCAGTCTGAGGTCCTGAGCGCTCTGGCGCAAGTTTACATCAAGGATATCTCTGTACTTTGCTCCATTCATCTTTCCCTCGATCCTGAATAGTCTCCCAGTCCCTGCCGCTGAAAAACATCCCCACAGCATGAAGCTGCCACCACCATGCTTCACTGTAGGGATGGTGCTAGGTTTCCTCAGATGTACCTTCATCCAGAGTCATCTGTTTACATATAAATAAATGCCATTTAGCAGACGCTTTATCAAAGGACCGTGCGCATACATTTTTGGTATGTTCATCGACCACTCTTGGAGTTAAAGCGCCGTGCTTATCAGAGGACCCAGAATAGACCAGAGAATCTTGTTTCTCATGGTCTGAAGTCCTTTAGGTGCCTTCTGGCATCCTCCAAGGCGGCTGTTCATGTGCCATTTACTGAAGAGTGGCTTCCGTCTGGCCACTTTACCATAAAGGCTGAATGGGTGGAGTGCTGCAGAGATGGTTGTCCTTCTTGAACGGTTCTCCCATCTCCACAGAGGAACTCTGAAGCTGTGTTAGTGACCATCAGGTTCTTGGTCACCTCCCTGACCAAGGCCCTTCTCCCCCCGATTGCTCAGTTTGGCCGGTTGGCCAGCTCTAGGAAGAGTCTTGGTGGTTCCAAACTCCTTTCATTTAAGAATGATGGAGGCCACTGTGTTCTTGGGCACCTTCAATGCTGCAGACATTTTTTGGTACCCTTCCCCAGATCTGTGCCTCAACACAATCTTGTATCGGCGCTCTACAGACAATTCCTTAGAGCTCATGGCTTGGTTTTTGCTCTGACATGCACTGTCAACTGAGGGACCTAATATAGACAGGTGTGTGCCTTTCCAAATCATGTCCAATCAATTGAATTTACCCCAGGTGGACTCCAATCAAGTTGTAGAAACATCAAGGATGATCAATGGAAACAGGATGCACCTGAGCTCAATTTCGAGTCTCATAGCAAAGGGTCTGAATAGTTATGTAAATAAGGTATTTTACATTTTAGTCATTTAGCAGACGCTCTTATCCAGAGCGACTTACAGTTAGTGAGTGCATACATTTTTCATACTGGCCCCCCGTGGGAATCGAACCGACAACCCTGGCGTTGCAAGCTCCATGCTCTACCAAATGAGCTACACGGGAGGCTAAAAATATAAAATTTGCTAACATTTCTAAAAATCTGTTTTTGCTTTGTCATTATGGGGTATAGTGTGTAGATTGATGAGGAAAATGTTTTTATTCAATCCATTTTAAAATATGGCTGTAAAGTAACAAAATGTGGAAAAAGTCAAGGGGTCTGAATACTTTCCGAATGCACTGTATACCCTAATATGCCCTACGCAGTTATGAAAATCTGAGAAGATTTGATATGCGGAATCCTCCACCTGGTCCTAGCCTATCAGAGGGCTAGGTGGAGCTATTAGCATATTGATGGCACCTGTCAAATTCTCCCAGATCTCAACAAGTGCATAGGGCGTAGTCTAGGGGTCCATTTAGTATTGGACCAGAGGTGTGTTCATTAAGTGTTTGACAATGCCTTGACAATCATTCATAACATAAGTGTCCAGTGTCCTAGACACAGATTACGACTACTCCTGGAATAAATGGCATTCTCAAAGGAGAATCTCCATTGTGTTTTTTTACCCCCAGGACTGACTTTTTTTTGTCAGGGAAACCCATCCCAAGAAATCAAGTCATGAATAGTGACTTTAGTTTAACCCACAGGGGGGGCTCACCCTCTGCATGGGTCACGGTGCTGTGCTCATCTGAGTGAGAACCCTGTTTTGTTCTGCAGACACAGAAGATTGACATGCTTTTCCAAAGCCATGCCCCCAAGTTACTGGACCATCTCCAGTGTCAGTTGGGAGACAGGGAGTGGTTAGTGGGCGATTCGGTAAGTTGAAAGGAGGGGGGCTCTCCACTCTAATTCAGTCCCATAATTTTGGCCTATGACATCAGTTTGTTAACATGACTCATGAGACATCTAGATAGTGGGAGAAGCTATAGGATGACGGGCTTATTGTAATGGCATCAATGGAACAGAGTTATTCCCATGTGTTGGATGTTTGGTACCATTCCATTGATTCCATTCCAGCCATTACAATGAACCCGTCCTCCTATAGCTCCTTCCACGAGCAGGTGTCCACATACTTTTTATATATATATATATATATATACATACATACATACATACATACATACATACATACACACACATACATACATACAGTTGAAGTCGGAAGTTTACATACACCTTAGCCAAATACATTTAAACTCAGTTTTTCACAATTCCTGACATTTAATCCTTGTAGAAATTCCCTGTCTTAGGTCAGTTATGATCACCACTTTATTTTAAGAATGTGAAATGTCAGAATAATAGTAGAGAGAATGAGTTATTTCAGCTTTTATTTCTTTCATCACATTCCCAGTGGGTCAGAAGTTTACATACACTCAATTAGTATTTGGTAGCATTGCCTTTAAATTGTTTAACTTGGGTCAAACGTTTTGGGTAGCCTTCCACAATAAGTTGGGTGAATTTTGGCCCATTCCTCCTGACAGAGCTGGTGTAACTGAGTCAGGTTTGTAGGCCTCCTTGCTCGCAAATGCTTTTACAGTTCTGCCCACAAATTTCTATAGGATTGAGGTCAGGGCTTTGTGATGGCCACTCCAATACCTTGACTTGGTTGTCCTTAAGCCATTTTGCCACAACTTTGGAAGTATGCTTGGGGTCATTGTCCATTTGGAAGACCCATTTGCAACCAAGCTTTAACTTCCTGACTGATGTCTTGAGATGTTGCTTCAATATATCCACATAATTTTCCTTCCTCATGATGCCATCTATTTTGTGAAGTGCACGTCTCTCCTGCAGCAAAGCACCCCCACAGAATGATGGTGCCACCCCAGTGCTTCACGGTTGGGATGGTGTTCTTCGGCTCGCAAGCCTTCCCCTTTTTCCTCCAAACATAATTATGGTCGTTATGGCCAAACAGTTCTATTTTTGTTTCATCAGACCAGAGGACATTTCTTCAAAAAGTACAATCTTTGTCCCCATGTGCAGTTGCAAATCGTAGTCTGGCTTTTTTATGGCAGTTTTGGAGCAGTGGCTTCTTCCTTGCTGAGCGGCCTTTCAGGTTATGTCGATATAGGACTCGTTTTGCTGTTTCCTCCAGCATCTTCACAAGGTCCTTTGCTGTTGTTCTGGGATTGATTTGCACATTTCACACCAAAGTATGTTAATCTCTAGGAGAATGAATGCGTCTCCTTCCTGAGCGGTATGATGGCTGCGTGGTCCCATGGTTTTTATACTTGCGTACCATTGTTTGTACAGATGAACGTGGTACCGTCAGCCATTTGGAAATTTCTCCCAAGGATGAACCAGACTTGTGGAGGTCTACAATTTGTTTTCTGAGGTCTTGGCTGATTTCTTTTGATTTTCCTATGATGTCAAGCAAAGAGGCACTGAGTTTGAAGGTAGGCCTTGAAATACATCCACAGGTACACCTCCAATTGACTCAAATGATGTCAATTAGCCTATCAGAAGCTTCTAAAGCCATGACATTCTTTTCTGGAATTTTCCAAACTGTTTACAGGCACAGTCAACTTAGTGTATGTAAACTTCTGACCCACTGGAATTGTGATACAGTGAATTATAAGGGAAATAATCTGTCTAAACAATTGTTGGAAAAATTACTTGTGTAATGCACAAAGTAAATGTCCTAACCGACTTGCCAAAACTATAGTTTGTTAACAAGACATTTGTGGAGTGGTTGAAAAACGAGTTTTAATGACTCCAACCTAAGTGTATGTAAACTTCCGACTTCAGCGGAACATATATACACATTACCATTCAAAAGTTTGGGGTCACTTAGAAATGTCCTTGTTTTCGAAAGAAATTCAATTTTTTTGTCCATTAAAACATCATCAAATTGATCAGAAATACAGTGTAGACATTGTTAATGTTGTAAATGGCTATTTTAGCTGGAAACGGCCGATTTTTAATGGAATATCTACATAGGTGTACAGAGGCTCATTATCAGCAACCATCAGTCCTGTGTTCCAATGGCACGTTGTGTTTGCTAATCCAAGTTTATCATTTTAAAAGGCTAATTGATCATTGGAAAACCCTTTTGCAGTTATGTTAGCACAGCTGAAAACTGTTGTGCTGATTAAAGAAGCAATAAAACTGGCCTTCTTGAGACTAGTAGAGTATTTGGAGCATCAGCAATTGTGTGTTTGATTACAGGCTGAAAATGGCCAGAAACAAATAACTTTCTTCTGAAACTTGTCAGTCTATTCTTGTTCTGAGAAATGAAGGCTATTCCATGCGAGAAATTGCCAAGAAACTGAAGAACTCGTACAACGCTGTGTACTACTCCCTTCACAGAACAGCGCAAACTGACTCTAAACAGAATAGAAAGAGGAGTGGGAGGCCCCGGTGCACAACTGAGCAAGAGGACAAATACATTAGAGTGTCTAGTTTGAGAATCAGACGACTCACAGGTCCTCAACTGGAAGCTTCATTAAATAGTACCCGCAATTTTTTATTTTATTTTTTATTTAATTTCACCTTTATTTAACCAAGTAAGCCAGTTGAGAACAAGTTCTCATTTACAACTGCGACCTGGCCAAGATAAAGCAAAGCAGTGCGTTAAAAACAACACAGAGTTACATATAGGGTAAACAAAACAAAGTAAAAAATACAACAGAAAATAAATATACAGTGTGTGCAAATGTAGTAAGTTATGGAGGTAAGGCAATAAATAGGCCATAGTGCAAAATAGTTACAATTTCGTATTAACACTGGAATGATAGCAAAAGATGATGTGCAAATAGAGATACTGGGGTGCAACTTAGCAAAATAAATAACAATATGGGGATGAGGTAGTTGGGTGGGCTAATTTCAGAATGGCTGTGTACAGGTGCAGTGATCGGTAAGGTGCTCTGACAACTGACGCTTAAAGTTAGTGAGGGAGATAAGAGTCTCCAGCTTCAGAGATTTTTGCAGTTTGTTCCAGTCAAACACACCAGTCTCAACGTCAACAGTGAAGAGGTGACTCTGGTATGCTGAGCTTCTAGGCAGAGTTGCAAAGAAAAAGCCATATCGCAGACTGGCCAATAAAAAGAAAAGATTAAGATGAGCAGTCTGAGATATGGCTTTTTCTTTGCAACTCTGCCTAGAAGCTCAGCATCCCGGAGTCGCCTCTTCACTGTTGACGTTGAGACTGGTGTATTGCGGGTACTATTTAATGAAGCTGCCAGTTGAGGACCTGTGAGGCGCCTGTTTCTCAAACTAGACACTAATGTATTTGTGCTCTTGCTCAGTTGTGTACCGGGGCCAGCGTTGTATGAGATCTTCAGTTTCTTGGCAATTTCTCGCACGGAATAGCCTTCATTTCTCAGAACAAGAATAGACTGACGAGTTTCAGAAGAAAGTTATTTGTTTCTGGCCATTTTGAGCCTGTAATCGAACCCACAATTGCTGATGCTCCAGATACTCAACTAGTCTCAAGAAGGCCAGTTTTATTGCTTCTTTAATCAGCACAACAGTTTTCAGCTGTGCTAACATAATTGCAAAAGGGTTTTCTAATGATCAATTAGCCTTTTAAAATGATAAACTTGGATTAGCAAACACAACGTGACATTGAAATACATGACTGATGGTTGCTGATAATGGGCCTCTGTACGCCTATGTAGATATTCCATTAAAAATCAGCCGTTTCCAGCTACAATAGCCATTTACAACATTAACAATGTCTACACTGTATTTCTGATCAATTTGATGTTATTTTAATGGACAAAGAAATTGCTTTTCTTTCAAAAACAGTGACCCCAAACTTTTGAACGGTAGTGTACATACATACATACATACAGTGAGGGAAAAAAAGTATTTGATCCCCTGCTGATTTTGTACGTTTGCCCACTGACAAAGAAATGATCAGTCTATAATTTTAATGGTAGGTTTATTTGAACAGTGACAGACAGAATAACAAAAACATCCAGAAAAATGCATGTCAAAAATGTTATAAAATGATTTGCATTTTAAATGAGGGTAATAAGTATTTGACCCCCTCTCAATCAGAAAGATTTCTGGCTCCCAGGTGTCTTTCATACAGGTAACGAGCTGAGATTAGGAGCACACTCTTAAAGGGCGTCAGGTAGCTTAGTGGTTAAGAGCGTAGTGCCAGTAGCCGAAAGGTCGCTGGTTCTAATCCCTGAGCCGACTAGGTGAGAAATCTGTCTGTGCCCTTGAGCAAGGCACCTGCTAAATGACTAAAATGTAAATGTATAGAAGACACCTGTCCACAGAAGCAATCAATCAATCAGATTCCAAACTCTCCACCATGGCCAAGACCAAAGAGCTCTCCAAGGATGTCAGGGACAAGATTGTAGACCTACACAAGGCTGGAATGGGCTACAAGACCATCGCCAAGCAGCTTGGTGAGAAGGTGACAACAGTTGGTGCGATTATTCGCAAATGAAAGAAACACAAAATAACTGTCAATCTCCCTCGGCCTGGAGCTCTATGCAAGATCTCACCTCGTGGAGTTGCAATGATCATGGGAACGGTGAGGAATCAGCCCAGACCTACACGGGAGGATCTTGTCAATGATCTCAAAGCAGCTGGGACCATAGTCACCAAGAAAACAATTGGTAACACACTACGCCGTGAAGGAGTGAAATCCTGCAGCGCCCGCAAGGTCCCCCTGCTCAAGAAAGCACATATACAGGCCCGTCTGAAGTTTGCCAATGAACATCTGAATGATTCAGAGGAGAACTGGGTGAAAGTGTTGTGGTCAGATGAGACCAAAATCAAGCTCTTTGGCATCAACTCAACTCGCCATGTTTGGAGGAGGAGGAATGCTGCCTATGACCCCAAGAACACCATCCCCACCGTCAAACATGGAGGTGGAAACATTATGCTTATGAGTGGGACAAAATCCTTCCTGAGATGTGTGCAAACCTGGTGGCCAACTACAAGAAACGTCTGACCTCTGATTGCCAACAAGGGTTTTGCCACCAAGTACTAAGTCATGTTTTGCAGAGGGGTCAAATACTTATTTCCCTCATTAAAATGCAAATCAATTTCTAACATTTTTGACATGCGTTTTTCTGGATTTTTTTGATGTTATTATGTCTCTCACTGTTCAAATAAACCTACCATTAAAATGATAGACTGATCATGTCTTTGTCAGTGGGCAAACGTACTAAATCAGCAGGGGATCAAATACTTTTTTCCCTCACTGTACATACATACATACACACACTGACAGAGTGTGACCGGCAGAGAGTGACAGACAGACCGACAGGCAGTGACAGACAGACCGACAGGCAGTGACAGACAGACCGACAGGCAGTGACAGACAGACCGACAGGCAGTGACCAACAGGCAGTGACCGACAGAGAGTGACCGACAGACCGACAGAGAGTGACCGACAGCCCGACAGAGAGTGACCGACAGAGAGTGACCGACAGAGAGTGACCGACCGACAGACCGACCGACAGTGACCGACAGACCGACCGACAGAGAGTGACCGACAGACCGACTGACAGAGAGTGACCGACAGACCGACCGACAGAGAGTGACCGACAGACCGACCGACAGAGAGTGACCGACAGAGAGTGACCGACAGAGTGACACAGACCGACAGACAGAGAGTGACCGACAGACAGAGAGTGACCGACAGACAGAGAGTGACCGACAGACAGAGAGTGACCGACAGACCGACCGACAGAGAGTGACACAGATCGACCGACAGAGAGTGACACAGACCGACCGACAGAGAGTGCCACAGACCGACAGACAGTGACCGACAGCGAGTGACCGACAGGCCGACAGCGAGTGACCGACAGGCCGACAGAGAGTGACAGACAGGCCGACAGAGAGTGACAGACAGGCCGACAGAGAGTGGCACAGACCGACAGACAGAGAGTGACAGACCGACCGACCGACAGAGAGTGACAGACAGACCGACAGAGAGTGCCACAGACCGACAGACAGTGACCGAGAGGTCGACAGAGTGACAGACCGGCCGACAGAGTGACAGACCGGCCGACAGAGTGACAGACCGGCCGACAGAGTGACAGACCGGCCGACAGAGTGACAGACCAACCGACAGAGAGTGACCGACAAACCGACAGTGTGACCGACAGAGAGTGACACAGACCGACAGACAGAGTGACCGACATTGACCGACGTAGTGACCGACAGGCCAACATACAGACAGTGACAGACCGATCGACAGTGACAGACCGCCAGAGTGAACGACAAACTAACACAGAGTGACAGACAGATCGACAGAGTGACAGACAGATCTACGGAGTGACACACAGACCGACAGAGAGTGACCGACAGACAAACCGACAGAGACACACAGACCGACAGTGATAGACAGACCGCCAAAAAGTGACCAACAAACCATCAGACCGTGACAGACCGACAGACAAACCAACAGAGAGTGAGACAGAACAACAGACAGTGATAGACAGACAGACCAACCGACAGAGAGTGACCGACAAGCCGACAGACGACAGAGAGTGACAGACAAACCGACAGTGTGACCGACAGAGTGACCGACAGACCGACAGTGTTACCGACACAGACAGACCGACAGAGAGTGACAGACAGACCGCCAAAAAGTGACCGACAAACCAACAGACCGTGACAGACCGACAGACAGAGTGACACAGACCGACAGATCGACAGAGAGTGACCGACAAACCGACAGACAAACCGACAGTGTGACCGACAGAGTGACAGACAGTGACAGACAGACCGACAGAGAGTGAACGACAGAGAGTGCCAGACAGACTGACTGAGAGTGACACAGACCGACAGACAGTGACCGACATTGACGGACAGAGTGACGGAGTGACCGACAGGCCAACATACAGACAGTGACGGACTGACCGACAGTGACAGACAGACCACCAGAGTGACCGACAAACCAACAGAGAGTGACAGACAGACCGACAGAGTGCCAGACCGACAGAGAGTGAACGACAGAGAGTGCCAGACAGACTGACAGAGAGTGAAACAGACCGACAGACAGAGTGACTGACATGGACCGACATAGTGACCGACAGAGTGACCGACAAACCAACAGAGAGTGACAGACCGACAGAGAGTGACAGACAGACCGCCAGAGTGACCGACAAACCAACAGAGACAGACAGATCTACGGGAGTGACACAGACTGACAGAGAGTGACCAACAAACAAACCGACAGAGAGACAGACAGACCGACAGTGTGACCGACACATCTACGGAGTGACCAACAGACAGACCGACATACAGACAGTGACAGACCAACCGACAAACCAACAGACTGTGACAGACCGACAGACAGACCGACAGTGACAGACCGACAGAGAGTGACCGACAAGCCGACAGACAGTGACAGGCACAACAGGGAGGTAACAGAGGCACAACAGGGAGGTAACAGAGGCACAACAGGGAGGTAACAGAGGCACAACAGGGAGGTAACAGAGGCCCAGTTACAGTGGTAAGTTGTATCTCCAGTCGTGCTTGTATTCATCTTAAACATGAGCTGGTTAAAAAGAGAGGACTATGTTTAATCGGTTACTGGTACAGTAAAAGTTGAGAAACGCTGTACTATAGTGTACTGGAGAGTGTGGGAGTGCACGAGCTGTGATGTGGGTTGGCGTGGCTAAAATGCCAGGGCTGAACTTGTCCCAGTCTGCCTGTGTAGATCTGAAATAATTGGATGGTGAAACTGGCCAGCCAAGTAGAAAAGCTAGGTGAAGCAATTGCGGGCATTCTAGAAAGTCAGGACAATCCTTGTCCTGCAAAGAAACATTTATTGTTTTATGGATTTTGCCAGCAGTAGGCATTTATACTGAAGAAATATATAAATGCAACATGCAAAAATGTCAATGATTTTACAGCGTTACAATTCATATAAGGAAATCAGTCAATTAAAATAAATAAATTAGGCCCTCATCAATGGATTTCACATGACTGGGCAGGGGTGCAGCCACTAGGGGAGCCAGGCCCAGCCAATCAGAATGAGTTTTTCCCCACAAAAGGGCTTTAATACAGACAGAAATACTCCTCAGTTTTAGCAGCTGTCCAGGTGGCTGGTCTCAGACGATCCCGCAGGTAAAGAAGCCAGATGTGGAGGTCCTGGGTTGGCGTGGTTACACGTGGTCTGCAGTTGTGACACCTGTTGGACGTACTGCCAAATTCTCTAAAAAGACGTTGGAGGCGGCTTAAGGTAGATAAGTAAACATTCTCTGGCAACAGTTCTGGTGGACATTGCTGCAGTTAGCGTGCCAATTGCACGCTCCCTCAAAACTTGAGACCATCTGTGGCATTGTGTTGTGACAAAACTGCACATTTTAGAGTGGCCATTTGTCCCCAGCAAAAGGTGCACCTGTGTAATGATCATGCTGTTTAATCAGCTTCTTGATATGCCACACGGGTCAGGTGGATGGATTATCTTGGCAAAGGAGAAATACTAACAGGGATGTAAACAAATGTGTGCACAGAATTTGAGAGAAATAAGCTTTTTGTGCGTCTGGAAAGTTTTTGGGATCTGCATTTCAGCGGATGAAAAATGGGACCAACGCTTTACATGTTGCTTAATATATTTTTGTTCAGTATAGAATTAAAATGTGGAGTGGAGCTTATAGTTACGGGATTACATTACGTACATTGCATACCTTCAAAAGTATTCAGCAATCATTTATTCGAAAAAGTTTCCATAATTTGTTTAAATAAAATAAAAATCCACCTGTTGAACGGACAACAGTTTCAATATTTAGAAAATGTCAATAACATCTTCCGTTTCCATTACCTCACAAAAAATGTTTCATACGACATTGCTTTTGTAGAATAAACCTGGGTCAATGGAAACCTGCCAATTGTCCTGTTTGACATGACAAGGAGTTGACAGGATAGCATAAACAGATCTGAGACCAGGCCAAGTCAGTTTCTCTAACTGCCCCGCTCAATGTAGCCACCATAGTCTGACATACCTTACCTTGTTCTGTCTGGTGCAGGAGACTTGGGCTGATCTGTACTGCCATGTGTGCTTCACCACCTTCAATGTGCTGAGACCAGGCTTTGCTGATCACCATCCTGCCCTGTGTGGTCTGACTGATCGGGTGGAGGCCATCCCAAACGTCGCCAAGTGGATCCAGAGCAGACCTACAACAGAGTTCTAAAACCTGGGCCCTGTTCAGTAGGGACGAAACAGGAGGAAAATGTTCTGAAACTGAGAATTTGTCCAATATGAATTCTCATTTAATGTTTTTCAGTTCCAAAACATGTCCCCTTTTTATGCTTACTGAACACGAACCACAACTTACCCAGCGATGAGGAATGGGGATGTGTATGCAAAAAGTACTGATGGGTATGAGGCATAAGAAACTGAACAATTAACAACCACTAGAACAGAAGTTGGGGGGGGGGGGGGGTTGATAATTCCCTACTTACTGTTGAAGTAAGGCCAGACATGACAAAATGAAGATTGCAAATGTCCTTTTAAAATAAACAATTGAAACAAAAGAAAATAAATATTGAAATCTTTATTTCATGTTGTTTCGACAAACCCTGTTGATGTCGCAACAGGGACATACAAAAAAACACAAACAGCAGAGTAACAGCACAACATGGGTTTTACAGTACAACATGGGTTTTACAGTACAACCGTAGCAAAATATTTTGCAACAGGAAAGAATTTGCAACGAAAACGAACATTTCTTAAAATGGACAAGTTCAGGTTAGTCCTTCCCATTCTGGCCCTTTTGCTTTCGTTTGGTTCCTAATGAATACACCCCAGGTTCTGCACGGAGCAGAGTGGCCACTGACCTCAACGACACCCACGGTCACCATCACTGTCACTGTCAGCAAAGGCCAACAATCCATTCATATCATCTCTAGTCCAGACTGTTGGACGTGCACAGCTGCGTCTCAGTCATGTGTCTAATGGGTAGTGTGAGCAGGGAGAGACCCACAGAGTTTAGGCAGGAGGATTCAAGTATCTGTGGCAGGTTTCAGTCAGTGGTGCCTGGGGTGGGAGGCTCCAGGCTGGATCCCAGATGGAGCTCCAGGGTGGGAGGCTCCAGGCTGGATCCCAGATGGATCTCCGGGGAGGGAGCTCCCAGACCCTCACAGGCCCAGCGATGCCTTGAGCAGGGAGGCCATGTCCTCAGGCATGGTGCCCTCGTCACCTGGGTACGGACACAAAACCACACTATTAAGTGATGATTCCATTACTCAACATCTGATACTGATTTATTAAATAAAGAAAAGAGACCATGGACACTTTGGGCTTTTGGTGTGAGTGAGTGTGTCCCCCAGGTCCTTACCCTCCTCGGCAGAGGTCATGTCCTGCTCCAGTTTGAGTTTCTTCTGACCCAGCTGCAGCATGCAGCCCTCTATTGTGTCGTTATGGATCAGCTTGATCACCTGGACTGTCCTGTAGGAGGACATGGACAGACACTGACCATCAGTCTTTCACCAGAAGAGACCATTTCCTTAGCGGCACCATTTTCTCTTCATACCTTGCCAGGTTTTTATTGTCACTACTTCTAGAGACTTCTCTCTAAGTAAGCCATCTCTCACTACTGACCCCAACCCCATAATGCATCTCTCACTACTGACCCTAATCCCATAATGCATCTCTCACTACTGACCCTAACTCCATAATGTAACCCAGCCACCTCCTTCCTGTCCGTCTGTCTCACCTGCCCCCCCCGACCCAGACCCCCGGCTCTCATCTGTCTCACCTAGTCTGCCCTACTCTGTGGCAGCGGTCCTCAGCCTGTTTGTCGTTGTAGGGGTTGCAGTCGATGTCATGCATGATGACCACGTTGGCAGAGGTCAGGTTGATGCCCAGGCCGCCGGCCCGCGTCGACAGCAGGAACACAAAGATTTCTGGGTCCGTGTTGTAGTCGTCAATCAGCACGATCCTGCACCAAACACAGGTGGGTCCAGGGAGATCAATGGCTCGCGCTAGATACACTACCACAACAACACTAACATCGGTCTCTGAATATTGGCCACTGCCAGTTAAGAGCTTTTTGCGATGAAACACCATGGCTCCAGTTACACTTCCTCTGCCAAAAGACTACATACAATTATGTTGGACGGAAGCCATTGAGTTGAACCCAACTTAAGCTCACCTGTCTGCAATGGGCGTGGAGCCGTCCAGTCTGACGTAGCGGTGGCCCAGGTGTTTGAGCAGAATCTCTACGATGTCCAGCATCATGGTGAACTGACTAAAGAGCACTACTCTGTCCCCCTGCAGAAACAGCACGTTTGAGTCTTTGCACAGCGCTATAGAAATCTAATGTATTATTAGAGCACAGCGCGTCACAGATCAGGGCTGTATTCAGTGATGTGAAGCGACAATGACGTTTAGCCCGGAGTTAAAAGCATGGTTCTCCCTCCCTCCCTCCTTACCCTCGTCTCACCTCCCTCCCCCTCTCATTACCTTGGTCTTGAGCGTGGCCAGTAGCGTCTGGAGCAGGTGGAACTTTCCGGAGTCCAGCAGAAGGTCTTTGTCCAGCTGGTATTGGTGCAGGGACGAGTACTGCTGGCACAGCCGGTGAAGCTCAAAGTCTGACATCACCGCCATGTCCTCTTGGATCAGCACCGGGTCCGCATCAAAATGGGTCGGTTCCTAGGGGGGGGGTGGGCGAGAGATAAATTGAACAGGTAAGGGTGGTAACAACACGTTTACATAGGAGAGGGACTTTTTAGATTTATATTATTTACTGAATAAACCAGAACAGACAAAAACAAAAATGGCCAATGAAGCAACAACCTTAAGCATGAGGCGACTCATGGCCTCCAGTCTCTCTGTGGTGAAGTATTGTCTGTGGAGCAGAGGGTGGTTGGCCATCTTCCTCAACTGCATCATCACGTTGCACAGCTCTCTCTCTAAACAGGTGGAAAGGAATGGGAGTGAGTGGGTGGGTGAAAGATTTATTGAATTGAACAGAATTAAAAATGTATAAATCAACGTAACTGAACGATTCAATTGCTATACTGTACTATAATTGCATTGCTTTCGCAACAACGGTACCCATTCATGTGAGAGACAAAGGAAGAGAGAGAGAGAAAGGAAGAGAGACATTTTACATTTACATTATTTAGCAGACGCTCTTATCCAGAGCGACTTACAGGAGCAATTAGGGTTAAGTGCCTTGCTCAAGGGCACATAGACAGATTTTTCACCTAGTTGGCTCGGGGATTAGAACCAGCAACCGTTCGGTTACTGGCACAACGCTCTTAACCACTAAGCTACCTGCCGCCCCGAGAGAGAAAGGCAGAGACAAACAGGATGTAAGAGGCCTACCACACAAAGCGTGTTGCTCTGTTATCTCGTCTGCCATCACACTGCTAGTTATGAGGCAACAATCTGTCACGCCACTGCTGTAACACCACACTGAGTAGGGTGAAGATGACACTAGACTGATTTTGGGTCAGTTTTACATTTTCCCCACTAATGGTTAAAGTTAGGAATAGGGAAGGGAAGCTGATCCTAGATCTGTACCTAGGGGAAACTTCATCCCAGACTTCACTACAGTTCAGTGCAGTACGTACTCTCTCCGATGGCATTCTTCTTGAACTTGCCCACCATGGTCTGGTAAAGCTGCTGTTGCTTCTCACTCATTGGGCAGAATACCAACTTCTCCTCCTTCGCTGGCAGCTGCTTAAGAACCTGAGACACACACACATATCTTTAAATATAACATTGTGAATCATCCAGTATTTCTTGTTTAACCAGACACTGAGTGTCCTTACTTCACTCTTAACTCGTCTGAGGATGAAAGGTTTCATGATGAGTTTAGCCTGGGCGATGCGGTCCCTCTCGAAACGACTCTGCTCCTCATGGGATTTCTACCACAGAACAACAAAATATAAACACCATCAAAACACATCCTACTATACGAGTCTGATTCACAAACACCTAATTCAGACAGCATTGTTGGTATGTTACCTGTGAAAGGGGGTCATATATGTACAGTTCATTCAGAAAAGTATTCGGACCCCTTGACTTTTCCACGTTCTGTTACGTTACAGCCTTATTCTAAAATGGATGAAATAAATAAAAATCCTCAATCTACACACAATACCACATAATGATAAAGCAAAAATAGTTGTTCTATTTTTGCAAATGTATTTTAAAAAAACCGAAATACCTTATTCACGTAAGTATTCAGACCCTTTGCTATGAGACTTGAAATTGAGCTCAGGTGCATCCTGTTTCCATTGATCATCCTTGAGATGTTTCTACAACTTGATTGCAGTCCACCTGTGGTAAATTCAATTCATTGGACATGATTTGGAAAGGTACACACCGGTCTATATAAGGTCCCACAGTTGACAGATGCATGTCAGAGCAAAAACCAAGCCATGAGGTCGAAGGAATTGTCCTTAGAGCTCCGAGACAGGATTGTGTAGAGGCACAGATCTGGAGAAGGGTGCCAAAACATTTCTGCAGCATTGAAGGTGCCCAAGAACACAGTGGCCTCCATCATTCTTAAAATGGAAGAAGTTTGGAACCACCAATACTCTTCCTAGAGCTGGCCGCCCGGGCAAACTTAGCAATCAGGGGTGAAGGGCCTTGGTCAGGGAGGTGACCAAGAACCCAATGGTCACTCTGGCAGAGCTCCAGAGTTTCTCTGTGGAGATGGGAGAACCTTCCAGAAGGACAACCAGCTCTGCAGCACTACCAATCAGGCCTTTATGTTAGAGTGGCCAGACGGAAGCCACTCCTCAGTAAAAGGCACATGACAGCCCGCTTGGAGTTAGCTAAAAGGCACCTAAAGACATTCAGACCATGAGAAACAAGATTCTCTGGTCTGATGAAACCAAGACTGAACTCTTTAGCCTGAATGCTAAGCATCACGTCTGGAGGAAACCTGGCACCATCCCTACGGTGAAGCATGGTGGCAGCATCATGCTGTGGGGATGTTTTTCAGCGGCAGGGACTGGGAGACTAGTCCAGAGAGATCCTTGATGAAAACTTGCTCCAGAGCACTCAGGACCTCAGACTGGGGCGAAGGTTCACCTTCCAACAGGACAGCGACCCTAAGCACACAGCCAAGACAACGCAGGAGTGGCTTCCGGACAATTCTCTGAATGTCCTTGATTTGCCCAACCAGAGCCCGGACTTGAACCCGATCTAACATCTCTGGAGAGACCTGAAAATAGCTGTGCAGCAACGCTCCACATCCAACCTGACAGAGCTTGAGGGAATGGGAGAAACTCCAAATACAGGTGTGCCAAGCTTGTAGCGTCATAGCCAAGAAGATTCAAGGCTGTAATCGCTGCCAAAGGTGCTTAAACAAAGTAGTGAGTAAACGGTCTGAATACTTATGTAAACGTTATATTTCTGTTATTTATTTTCAATACATTTGGAAAAATGTCTAAAAACCTGTTTTTGCTTTGTCATTATGGGGTATTGTGTGTAGATAGATTAGGGGGGGGAAATATTTAAATCCATTTTAAAACAACGCTGTAATGTAACAAAATGTGGAAAAAGTGAAGGGGTCTGAATACTTTGATATACATATATATATATTTTTAACAGTCCCATTTTCCCCACATTCTTGCCAGCATAAGCCTTTTATACCTCCCCGTATACTGGCACTGAAGTGACGAGTGGGAATAGGGGTGATGCGTCTATTTTAATAAACCCATTGAATATACACCATCACAAAGAAACCCATTATGAATTTGTTAAGGCAGGTCTTAGACTAAGGACCGAGTTTTGGACACCCTGGTCTAGAGGAAACATGTCTGCACCAATGGAAACCCTGGTCTAGAGGAAACATGTCTGCACCAATGGAAACCCTGGTCTAGAGGAAACATGTCTGCACCAATGGAAACCCTGGTCTAGAGGAAACATGTCTGCACCAATGGAAACCCTGGTCTAGAGGAAACATGTCTGCACCAATGGAAACCCTGGTCTAGAGGAAACATGTCTGCACCAATGGAAACCCTGGTCTAGAGGAAACATGTCTGCACCAATGGAAACCCTGGTCTAGAGGAAACATGTCTGCACCAATGGAATCCCTGGTCTAGAGGGAACATGTCTGCACCAATGGAATCCCTGGTCTAGAGGAAACATGCCTGCACCAAATTACATCAATAGATTGTGTCTTGTCTGTTTAATTAACAAAATAACACCTACGTACCCCTGCCCTGATCACTGTCCACACACACACACATTGTATAGTAAGTATTTAATGGAATAGAACAATATAATTTTTCCCATCAACTTGAGTGTCACGGGAACCTGTGGAACCGCTGTCATATGACACAAAAAGTTATATTTCTGACAATTTGTAGGTGCTTTAGAATCCTTTCAATCTGCTGTTTCCAATCATGTAAAAACTATAATCCGACCAGGATGAACCTCTGAACGTTTGTTTTATTATCCACGCCTCATCTCTTTCCTACCCTCACTCCACTTTGTTAGATACAGTATCATGCACATTGATAGCTTGCTAGCAAACGTCCTAGCCAACTGTTCTTTTAATAGTAGAAGCAGACAGTTATCTAAATAGGACTAATCGTAGCAAAACATGCTCAACATAAATGTCCAACAAGATATTGTAGCCTATAGCTTTTGTGACTCCAGGAGAAGAGGACTAGCGCAGCGGCTTGCGTAATTGCGCATTATTCCTTGGATAAATATTAGGCCTAATAATATTGAGGTAAATGTATCATCACCAGCCAATGTGATCACACCATCGCGCGCTCTCTCTTTTCAAAGACCCCACCAGATATTTTGGCCGAAGACGCAAGTAGGCTAACTTTGAAATGTATGCATATTACCTATAATTTATTAGCTAAATATAAAAAGGGCCTTTAAATATTTACCTGTCAAAGTCGAGAAGAAAACAAATGGTTGTATGCATTCCCCCAGGTTAAATGGCAAAGCATTACTGTGACAATAAGCATGAACAGCTTAAGAACCGACCTACATACATTTTAATGGAGAGAGTAAAAGCATTGTGATTGAAGAGTTTGATGTCAGATAAGAATGTTCATGATTTAATGCGGGCCAAAGCCGATAAGATGAAAGGAGACGTTTTATACAGAGGCATTGGTGGGACTTTTCAACATAATACCGCAATCATGACTACCTCGGTTGGCGGAAATAAAAGTACAGACTTTGTTACCGGCAATATATATCTTTAAAATATAAAGAAAAGGAGGTAAAAAGCTGAAGTTGGCGGGTTTTGGTCTTGGCATGATAATAGTGTCTTTGAGTAGGAGTGCTGACCTAGGGTCAGGTCTACTGGTCTTAGTTGTTACGATTTAAAAGGCAAAACTGGTCCTAGATCGGCACTCCTACTCTGAGACGCTTTGCGAATACGGGCCCTGGTCTGAGTGTTGTACATGAACGTTTGGTGGAAACGCAGGTTTTTAAAACCCAGTTTTGATCTCCTTCCCCAGTTCCACTCCCATCCACTCTATCCAAGCTTCTGCCAGCCTGACTAGAGTTGCAAAATTCCAGTAAGTCCCCAAATTCCCAGGTTGTCTAGAAATCGTGGTTGGAGGATTCTAGAGTTCCTGCTTATTCCCTCCAGATTCCGGGAATCTTCCCACAGTCTTAAAATATTCCAATCATGGTAATTTGGGGAAAGTTACCAAAAATATTTCAACCCTAAACCTGACCTCACCATGGAGAACATCTTGGCTATCTGTGTGGTGCTGCTGGAGAACATGGAGGGCATGATGAAGTTTAGCAGCGACATCAGCTCCAGCAGGTTGTTCTGCAGAGGGGTGCCGGTCAGTAGCAACCGGTGCTCAGCCTGGGGACACACAGAGAGACAGGTAGTCAGAGGGACGCAGGGACGGAGAGGGACACGGAGTCAGGACCAACCGGTGCTCAGCCTGGGGACACAGAGAGACAGCTAGTCCGGGATGGAGTCAGGGAGGGAGAGGGACACAGGGAGTTAGAAGGAACTGGTGCTCAGCCTTGGGGACACACAGAGAGACAAGGAGTAAGGGAGAGAGATATTTAGAAAGACAGTCAGACAGTGTCAGTCAGAGACAGGCGGTATTGGGTGCACTAACGTTGACGGCCATGAGGTGGCGGTAGCGGCGGGAGTTCATGTTCTTCAGCATGTGGCCCTCGTCAAACACGGCGTACTTCAGTTTGAGCTTGCGGAAGAGACTGCGGTCGCTGTCGTTGCCGATGGCCAAGTTGTATCTGTGCGGAGAGGAATGACACCCAGACATGAGCATTTACAGTTGAACTTTCATTCCGTATGTAGGCCTCCATCAAAGTGGAAGGGCTACAGGCATGCAAGCGCACACTATTGCTTATGACTGCTAGGGGGGCTATGAAGTTCTATTTACCGTAGTCATACAGTAGGCTTTGGTGTGAAGCTGTGTAATGTCTGTTGTTGGAGGCCTGCGCTGCTGCCAGCAACCGTTTGGGTCTCAAGGTGAGTCCCTTTCAGATGGTCAGGCATTGCACCTGTACTACCATTACTGTACCTCAATTCCACCTCGCAAAGTTAGCATTTCACCACCATCTCATTTAACATCTCAAAGTATTGCCATACAGGACTTCGCAGCTGTCACTTGCCTTGACATTTTCCCAGCTGTTAATAACGATGGCATGCTGAGCGCTTTATATCTGTGGCAAATAATTTGGACGATGGATATCTCCTCCTATTAATGGTACAGCATTGTTGCGTTAGGCATTTGTTTAATTTAAATGTTTTCCTTTATGATGATGATGATGATGATGATGATGATGGGGACCTGTTAGTGGTTATTTTATGATTTACATTTTGTGCAGAAAAAAACAAAACGTTTTTCAGTTAGCGATTTTATCTTAACGTTAACGTTTAAACATTCACACCCCTAGCACCCCACAGGAATGCTGAGCAATGTCAAGATGCCAGGGCCATTAAGTTCCAATGCATTCCTGGTATCGATCGAATTGACTCATCGTGTTTGGAGGCTTAATGTCAGCTAACAAGATTGGAGAAGACGTACCATGGTGGACTCATACACTGGATCCATCCCAAATGGCACCCTATTCCCTTTATAGTGCACTACTTTGGACCAGGGGCTATAGGGATCTGGTCAAAATAAGTGCACTATATAGGGAATAGGGTCACTTGGGACACAGCAACAGCGTGTAATGCTCATTAATAACATTCATTTAGGCATGCATAACAAAGTGTTTTTCTGGTTCAGTCAGACACCTAGGCCATTAAAAACACCCCTGCACAGCTTTAAGGGTGTAGGGTGAAGTTGGCCCTAGACGCTGATCTGGGGTCAGTTTCCCCACTAAATGGTTAAGGTTAGGATTAGGGGAGGGGAGGGGATGCTGATCCTAGTTCTGTACCTAAGGGAAACAGCTGTAGGAAGCTCACGCCTACAGACAGCTCCAGAGGATGCAATGCTCTTCCCTTCCACTAGAGCAGGATCATCAACTAGATTCAGCCGATGCTCAGGCGGCCGGAACATGATTACAAATCATTTCTAGACTGCAAATTGATCGCAAAAAAAGCCCATGTGTGGGAATATATTTCCAAAATAAAAGTCACTTAGAGCTGATTTCCTGGTGTTTTTACAGTATTATGTCGAACAATAAAAATCATAAATAAAATAAAATGAAAACGCAGGCCGCCAGTTGGGGAACCCTGCACTAGGTGTTATTGTGGTTTCACTGACAGACTGAAACCTATCTGACAACATGGCGCGTCTGGCATAGACAACTCTAGTGCCCAAAAGCCGTTTAAAGCATTTAAGTACTTTGACCATTTTTAAGTAGTCACCTGGGTGGGATTTCCTATGGGTTAAGGAAGGATCACATAATTCCATCCAGGTCATCAGGAGGAATCAGCCAATGAATTATACTCGTGAGCAAACATTCCATAACCGCATGTGGCAGTAAATCGCCAACCTTGGCTTTCTACCTGTTCAGACAACACCCTCCAGGTGGCAGTGTGCACCCTTTCAGTTTGTTTACCAACTCATAGAAGTAGTAGAAGAAGAAAATGTACTACTTAAAAATGGAGATGGCCTCATTGGCGCTGCCCGTGCGCTCACAGACGCCATAATGGGACAGATAAGAAGAAGAGTAGTCTATGTCTATGGTGTGTGTGTGTGTGTGTGTGTGTGTGTGTGTGTGTGTGTGTGTGTGTGTGTACACAACTACTCACGTGGACACGATGACGTTGAAGTCCACCTGATTATTAAGGATGTCATGTCGCAGATACCGCCGGTCCTCCACAGAGCCTGAAAACACATCAGGGTTTACGCCATAGAAATTATTTTGTTGTTATTCTGTCTCTCACTGTTCAAATAAACCTACCATTAAAATTATAGACTGATCATTTCTTTGTCAGTGGGCAAACATACAAAATCAGCAGGGGATCACATACTTTTTTCCTTCACTGTATGTATATATATATTTTTATTGACAAATAAAAACAACCAATCAAAACGCCTCACCGTAATAGACTAACACCTTGAGACTAGGGCACCACAGCTTTAGCTCCCGAACCCAGTTATCTATAGCAAATAGAAGACATTTCAGGACACTTTAATACATTTTTGTACAATTGACTGACAAAACCTGACATTATGCCAAACACAGATACAGTTGAAGTCGGAAGTTTACATACACTTAGGATGGAGTCATTAAAACTCGTTTTTCAACCACTCCACAAATTTCTTGTTAACAAACTATAGTTTTGGCAAGTCGGTTAGGATATCTACTTTGTGCATGACACAAGTAATTTTTCCAACAATTGTTTACAGACAGATTATTTCACTTATAATTCACTGTATCACAATTCCAGTGGGTCAGAAGTTTACATACACTAAGTTGACTGTGCCTTTAAACAGCTTGGAAAATTCCAGAAAATGATGTCATGGCTTTAGAAGCTTCTGATATGCTAATTGACATAATTTGAGTCAATTGGAGGTGTACCTGTGGATATATTTCAAGGCCTCCCTTCAAACGCAGTGCTTGACATCATGGGAAAATCAAAGCCAAGACCTCAGAAAAATAATTGCAGACCTCCACAAGTCTGGTTCATCCTTGGGAGCAATTTCCAAACGCCTGAAGGTACCACGTTCATCTGTACAAACAATAGTACGCAAGTATAAACACCATGGGACCACGCAGCCATCATACCGCTCAGGAAGGAGACGCGTTCTGTCTCCTAGAGATTAACGTACTTTGGTGCGAAAATTGCAAATCAATCCCAGTACAGCAAAGGAAACAGGTACAAAAGTATCTATATCCACAGAAAAACGAGTCCTATATCGACATAACCTGAATGGCCGCTCAGCAAGGAAGAAGCCACTGCTCCAAAACCGCCATAAAACAGCCAGACTACGGTTTGCAACTGCACATGGGGACAAAGATCGTACTTTTTGGAAAAATGTCCTCTGGTCTGATTAAACAAAAATAGAACTGTTTGGCCATAATGACCATCATTATGTTTGGAGGAAAAAGGGGGTGAGGCTTGCAAGCCGAAGAACACCATCCCAACCGTGAAGCACAGGGGTGGCAGCATCATGCTGTGGGGGTGCTTTGCTGCAGGAGGGCCTGGTGCACTTCACAAAATAGATGGCATCATAAGGAAGGAAAATTATGTGGATATATTGAAGCAACATCTCAAGACATCAGTCAGGAAGTTACAGCTTGGTCACGCAAATGGGTCTCCCAAATGGACAATGACCCCAAGCATACTTCCAAAGTTGTGGCAAAATGGCTTAAGGACAACAAAGTCAAGGTATTGGAGTAGCCATCACAAAGCCCTGACCTCAATCCTATAGAACATTTGTGGGCAGAAATGAAAAAGTGTGTGCAAGCAAGGAGGCCTACAAACCTGACTCCGTTACACCAGCTCTGTCAGGAGGAATGGGCCAAAATTCATCCAACTTATTGTGGGAAGCTTGTGGAAGGCTACCCGAAACGTTTGACCCAAGTTAAACAATTTAAAGGCAATGCTACTGTTATGGTGTCTTTTCATAGTGTTGTGGGAACAAGGTTAAATCTATTAGATAGGTGACTCTTGGTGCCACAGAGTCTGGATGCCAACGATTCCAGTATGTCGAGGGAGCTTACTGGTGTTTATCTTAGAATGATTGATAGATGTTGTTGAAGAAATGTGTAACATTAAGTATATAAACAGATATTTATTTTGTCCAGTGTTCGGATGACAAGAGGCAAAGCACAAACCTTTTGTTAGACGAACCCGGTATCGTATCTATTAAATACTTTGTATTACCTCCCCATATAATTGTTTAAGTATATTCTTGCATCCTGAATTACTTGACACCAGAGAAACTCATAACAGATTGGCGTCACAAACAGATACAGTTTACAGCCGAACTAACAGGTAAGCAGACTTTCATTTTTTTTTTTTTTATCATGTCAAATTCTGCTTATCTGTGGTAAAGCTGAGCTGTAACGAACATTTAAAATTCAATATTTTAAAGCGGGACGATAAGTGGTGTTGAGTTATGTATAAGGGATGTAAGTAGAAGGAGAAATATCAAATTAGACAATAACATGGTGCTATGATTCGAAACAGGGTGTGTTAAGAGTAATGAGTACTAAGACAAAAGAGAATACAGGAGTGGGTGTAGGACTTAACCTATCTCTTTAAGGACCTCTGTTGTATCATCATGAAATAAGTATTCTGATGTGTTGTATCATCATTAGGTTTGAATACCTTCGTAAGGAGAGAATAACTTATTTGTGAAATGCTCAGAGCGATAATGTTGAATCATGGCACCAATGACAAAATAGGCAAATAACATTTTAATAAAGATCAAGTTGGGGATTTGATTCAAGTATTTGATTACTAATATTGCATGAACTAATAGAAGTAATGGATGGCGAGCTTAGTAGACCGGTATCTGGAAAAACAGTCACCATTAAGAGTAAATCAGAGCTTCATTTACCTCGAAGAGAGAGAAAGGAAATGACGAAATTATTACAGACAAATCCACATTTAAAACAAGTCTCTTTTAAAGGTAGTGAAAATCAGACATTGTGCGAATGGATGTTAAGTAAATTAGGATTTTTCTATGGGGAACCATTTCTCAGTGACGTATCAGCATGGACAGATAATGAGTATCCTTAAGGTGTTTTTAAAAAGGGATAAGTTACTACAGATAGCGAAAATATATATCATTGACAATATCGTCGTAAGCAACACGAAATGGGATTTAGATTATATGAAAGAGGCGTATAAAGCATGCGATTTAATGAGCACACGATGACCTGGAAATACAATTAATAAGGAGAAAAAGTCAGCTAACGAAGTTAAGTAATTAAAATGGGACAACATGGGCTACCTTATGAACAAAGAGCAGAAAGTAATTTAAATCTGAGGGGTGCATAATAAGTTATAGAAATGGATTTGATAATTTGATATAAGTTTGGATAAGAAAGGTTTTGATATACAGTGGGGGAAAAAAAGTATTTAGTCAGCCACCAATTGTGCAAGTTCTCCCACTTAAAAAGATGAGAGGCCTGTAAATTCCATCATAGGTACACGTCAACTATGACAGACAAATTGAGAAAAAGAAATCCAGAAAATCACATTGTAGGATTTTTAATGAATTTATTTGCAAATTATGGTGGAAAATAAGTCTTTGGTCACCTACAAACAAGCAAGATTTCTGGCTCTCACAGACCTGTAACTTCTTCTTTAAGAGGCTCCTCTGTCCTCCACTCGTTACCTGTATTAATGGCACCTGTTTGAACTTGTTATCAGTATAAAAGACACCTGTCCACAACCTCAAACAGTCACACTCCAAACTCCACTATGGCCAAGACCAAAGAGCTGTCAAAGGACACCAGAAACAAAATTGTAGACCTGCACCAGGCTGGGAAGACTGAATCTGCAATAGGTAAGCAGCTTGGTTTGAAGAAATCAACTGTGGGAGCAATTATTAGGAAATGGAAGACATACAAGACCACTGATAATCTCCCTCGATCTGGGGCTCCACGCAAGATCTCACCCCGTGGGGTCAAAATGATCACAAGAACGGTGAGCAAAAATCCCAGAACCACACGGGGGGACCTAGTGAATGACCTGCAGAGAGCTGGGACCAAAGTAACAAAGCCTACCATCAGTAACACACTACGCCGCCAGGGACTCAGACGTGTCCCCCTGCTTAAGCCAGTACATGTCCAGGCCCGTCTGAAGTTTGCTAGAGTGCATTTGGATGATCCAGAAGACGATTGGGAGAATGTCATATGGTCAGATGAAACCAAAATATAACTTTTTGGTAAAAACTCAACTCGTCGTGTTTGGAGGACAAAGAATGCTGAGTTGCATCCAAAGAACACCATACCTACTGTGAAGCATGGGGGTGGAAACATCATGCTTTGGGGCTGTTTTTCTGCAAAGGGACCAGGACGACTGATCCGTGTAAAGGAAAGAATGAATGGGGCCATGTATCGTGAGATTTTGAGTGAAAACCTCCTTCCATCAGCAAGGGCATTGAAGATGAAACGTGGCTGGGTCTTTCAGCATGACAATGATCCCAAACACACTGCCCGGGCAACGAAGGAGTGGCTTCGTAAGAAGCATTTCAAGGTCCTGGAGTGGCCTAGCCAGTCTCCAGATCTCAACCCCATAGAAAATCTTTGGAGGGAGTTGAAAGTCTGTGTTGCCCAGTGACAGCCCCAAAACATCACTGCTCTAGAGGAGATCTGAATGGAGGAATGGGCCAAAATACCAACAACAGTGTGTGAAAAACTTACAGAAAACGTTTGACCTGTGTCATTGCCAACAAAGGGTATATAACAAAGTATTGAGAAACTTTTGTTATCGACCAAATACTTATTTTCCACCATAATTTGCAAATAAATTCATAAAAAATCCTACAATGTGATTTTCTGGATTTTTTTCCCTCATTTTGTCTGTCATAGTTGACGTGTACCTATGATGAAAATTACAGGCCTCTCTCATCTTTTTAAGTGGGAGAACTTGCACAATTGGTGGCTGACTAAATACTTTTTTTCCCCACTGTAACTGTTTAAGTATATTCTTGCATCCTGAATGACTTGACACCAGAGAAACTAATAACAGCTACCAAATACTAATTGAGTGTATGTAAACATCTGACCCACTGAGAATGTGATGAAAGAAATAAAAGCTTAAATAAATCACGCTATTATTCTGACATTTCACATTCTTAAAATTAAGTGGTGATCCTAACTGACCTAAAACAAGGAATGTTTACTAGGATTAAATGTCAGGAATTGTGAAAAACTGAGTTTAAATGTATTTGGCTAAGGTGTATGTAAACTTCTGACAACTGTATTATTAAGGGCCACAGTCATTTTTAAGTGAAATGGTCAAACAATACTCCTTTGTTTATGTGATGTTTTCTATAAGTGGTTATAAAGTGAGTGGCATGACATGAGCAGAGCCCTTACCCAGGGTGGAGGAGGGCACAGTGATGAGGTGGGGGCCTTCGATGCCATCCTGGTACAGTTTGGCCAGGAAGGCTATGGCCTGGATGGTCTTTCCCAAACCCTGTCGATGTAGACAATCAAGAGAGTAAAGAGAGAAAGAGAGAGAGAGAGAGAAAGACAGAGCGAGCGAGAAAATAAAGCGAGATCAATATCTGCTCTTCAAACCAAGTATCAGTTAAAAACAGCATCACGGAGCCCCAGGTCTCATATCAGGACTTGAATCACACTGGCAATCTAACAGTATTCAAACCAAACAAGACACACTGGCAATCTAACAGTATTTAAACCAAACAAGACACTGGCAATCTAACAGTATTCAAACCAAACAAGACACACTGGCAATCTAACAGTATTTAAACCAAACAAGACACTGGCAATCTAACAGTATTTAAACCAAAAAAGACAAAGGCTTTCCTTGTGAATGTTAAAATAACAAAATCTATCCCACCCATTCCTTTAGTTCTCTCTGTGCAGCTGCTCCACCCACACACCATTACTCAAAACGCTCAATTATCTAGAGCCGTTGTGGACATTTTACACCAGCCATTGTCTGTTTTCGTTTGGTAACAGTTCTACAATACAGACAGGGGGTAATCCATATAATTAAAGAACACAATAGTATGTGGCAAAGTCCCAAATGGCACCCTATTCCCTATGGGCCCTGAAGTAGTGCACTATCTAGAGAATAGGGTGGCATTTGGGACACAGCCTGTATCTGAATTGGATAGTCATCTCACCATCTCATCAGCCAGGATTCCACTCAGCTTGTGTTTGTGCAGCAGGAGAAGCCACTTCAGCCCAATCAGCTGGTAGGGTTTCAATTGTAACCTGCATGGCAACCAATCACAATGCAATAAATTTAGAGACAAACCAATCGCAATACAACACATTTAGAGACAAACCAATCGCAATACAATACATTTAGAGACAAACCAATCGCAATACAACACATTTAGAGACAAACCAATCACAATACAATACATTTAGAGACAAACCAATCACAATACAACACATTTAGAGACAAAATCAAGACATCCAGTATCTGACAGACGTGTAGCATAACATTCATCTATGATGTGATACATATTTGTTTAATGGGGTCAAAAGATTTCTAACTTCATTATTTCTTGACAATAAGTCATATCAGATGTGGGGATAACCGTTTTCAGAATACATCCATTATGCCATGGTAAATGGATAAATGGATTACCATGGCATTCAGTTAGCGTTTGGATGTTTCTGCTAGTTACCAGTGAGGATTTGTTCTTAATTCAGGGCCGATTGGGCAGTCCATCAATCCCTTTTATTCCCCCAGTCGGAATATAAACGACTATAGCAGATTAGATGCAATCTGCTTATATGTATCAGGACCATGTTCAGTAGCTAAACGTTGTCGAACATTGCAAATGCCATTACTCCTTGTCAGAGATGCATGTTTGTTCGACATAACATATTTCTAAAACGTTGTGTCCACTTACTTTCTGTTGAGGATGGAGGGCTGGGTCACGGAGCCCATGCCCTTGTCGATGACCTGCGTGACTCCCTTCACCATCTTGCCCGAGATGGTCTGGCACTTGGACATGAGGCCCTGGACCACAGCCCTCTCCCTGAGCACCACCCTGCAGCCCAAGAGCAGTTCTGCAGACAGGCCTTTCTCCTTGTCGAACAGCTCCTTCTGAGAAATGGACACACATACACATTAAAAAGTGTGTCACCAACAGGTCATAATTCCTCATCTGACATGATATCAGTTAAGCAATTGTATCGTTGCACGACAAAGCCAAACCATGAATAAAAGATAAGAGGCTATGTCATGGTTGTTGAGGACTACCATACAGTGGACCAGCTGAATTCACGGCACACTCAGATGATAACATCTTTAAGCTGGCGGTTCATGGAGGTGGAGCCGTTTTAGATTTAAAGGGCTTTGTGGCTTTTCAACTCACACCTGCATATCTAATGACCCTGCTTAAAGCTGTGTGGGAGTGACACACCTGCATATCCAATGACCCTTCCTGTTTACAAGCAGAAGCAGGAAGTACCCGCGATTCACTCCGTTGATAAATGGTCACCAGAATCAAAGGGTATGCTTCAGGACTGCTCTGCTAACACTGATTGGAATATGTTTCGAGGCTCCGCCGATAACACCTCCGTCACCGCTTCATTAGAAAATGCATCGCAAACGTTGTGCCCACGGTGAGGGTTCGCTTCTTCCCCAATCAAAAGCCCTGGATTAACACAGAGGTTGGCGATAAACTAAAGAGCAGTGGAGCAGGTAGACAGCTTCAAGTTACTCAGTGTCCAAATCACTAAAGACTTAAAATGGTCCAAACACACGCACAGTCTTGAAGAGGTCGCGACAGAACCTCGTCCCCCTCAGGAGGTTGAAAAAGTTTGGCATGGGCCCTCATATCCTGAAAAGGTTCTACAGCTGCCATCCAGGACCTCTATACCAGGCGGTGTCAGAGGAAGGCCCTCAAAATTGTCAAAGACTCCAGCCACCCTAGTCATAGACTGTTCTCTCTGCTACCGCACGGCAAGCGGTACCGGAGTGCCAAGTCTAGGTCCAAAAGACTTCTCAACAGCTTCTACCCCCAAGCCATAAGACTCCTGAACAGCTAATCATGGCTACCCGGACTATTTGCACTGCCCCCCCACCCCATCCTTTTTACGCTGCTGCTACTCTGTTAATTATTTATGCATAGTCACTTTAACTCTACCCACATGTACATATTACCTCAACTACCTCAACTAGCCGGTGCCCCCGCACATTGACTCTGCAACGGTACCCCCCTGTATATATAGCCTCCCTACTGTCACTTTATTTTACTGTATATATAGCCTCCCTACTGTCACTTTATTTTACTTCTGCTCTTTTTTTCTCAACACTTTTTTTGTTGTTGTTTTATTCTTACTTTTTTTGTTTAAAATAAATGCACTGTTGGTTAAGGGCTGTAAGTAAGCATTTCACTGTAATGTCTGCACCTGTTGTATTCGGCGCATGTGACCAATAAAATTTGATTTGATTTGATTTGAGAGCATATTGACTGGCTGCATCACTGCTTGGTATGGCAATAGCACCGCCATAGATCGCATGGCGCTACAGTGGGTTGTGTGGACAGCCCAGTACATCACTGGGGCCTAGCTCCATGGCATCTATATCAGGTGTGAAAAGAAGGCCCGGAAAATCAAAGACCACAACCACCCAAACCATAGACTATTTCCTCTGCTGCTGCACAGAAAGAGGTACCGGTGCATCAAGTCTGACACCAACAGGCTCTTGAACAGCTTCTATCCCCAAGCAATACGTCTGATAAATAGCTAACAGAATAGCTACACGGACAGAGTTTACCTTGAATCTTTACTGACCTTTTATTTCAGTATTTGCACTCTCTATGCACACTCACAGGGCCCTACACACTCACTGTCACTCCAACACACACACGAACACTCACTCCATCTGCTCACTCACACATAACATGCACATTATACTGACTCTATACATCCCCCACTCACATACAAGCTGCTGTTACTCTGTATCTTACATCCTGTTGCCTAGTCACCTTACCTCTCTCTATACACATCTACCGCCATCACTCCAGTATCCGTGCACATGTAAATATGGTATTGGAACTGACCCTGTATATACACTGCTCAAAAAAATTAAGGGAACACTAAAATAACACATCCTAGATCTGAATGAATGAAATAATCGTATTAAATACTTTTCTCTTTACGTAGTTGAATGTGCTGACAACAAAATCACACAAAAATTATCAATGGAAATTAAATGTATCAACCCATGGAGGTCTGGATTTGGAGTCACCCTCAAAATTAAAGTGGAAAACCACACTACAGGCTGATCCAACTTTGATGTAATGTCCTTAAAACAAGTCAAAATGAGGCTCAGTAGTGTGTGTGGCCTCCACGTGCCTGTATGACCTCCCTACAGTGCCTGGGCATGCTCCTGATGAGGTGGCGGATGGTCTCCTGAGGGATCTCCTCCCAGACCTGGACTAAAGCATCCGCCAACTCCTGGACAGTCTGTGGTGCAACATGGCGTTGGTGGATGGAGCGAGACGATGTCCCAGATGTGCTCAATTGGATTCAGGTCTGGGGAATGGGCGGGCCAGTGCATAGCATCAATGACTTCCTCTTGCAGGAACTGCTGACACACTCCAGCCACATGAGGTCTAGCATTGTCTTGCATTAGGAGGAACCCAGGGCCAACCGCACCAGCATATGGTCTCACAAGGGGTCTGAGGATCTCATCTCGGTACCTAATGGCAGTCAGGCTACCTCTGGCGAGCACATGGAGGGCTGTGCAGCCCCCCAAAGAAATGCCACCCCACACCATGACTGACCCACCGCCAAACCGGTCATGCTGGAGGATGTTGCAGGCAGCAGAACATTCTCCACGGCGTCTCCAGACTCTGTCACATGTGCTCAGTGTGAACCTGCTTTCATCTGTGAAGAGCACAGGGCGCCAGTGGCGAATTTGCCAATCTTGGTGTTCTCTGGCAAATGCCAAACGTCCTGCACGGTGTTGGGCTGTAAGCACAACCCCCACCTGTGGACGTCGGGCCCTCATACCACCCTCATGGAGTCGGTTTCTGACCGTTTGAGCAGACACATGCACATTTGTGGCCTGCTGGAGGTCATATTGCAGGGCTCTGGCAGTGCTCCTCCTGCTCCTCCTTGCACAAAGGCGGAGGTAGCGGTCCTGCTGCTGGGTTGTTGCCCTCCTACGGCCTCCTCCACGTCTCCTGATGTACTGGCCTGTCTCCTGGTAGTGCCTCCATGCTGTGGACACTACGCTGACAGACACAGCAAACCTTCTTGCCACAGCTCGCATTGATGTGCCATCCTGGATGAGCTGCACTACCTGAGCCACTTGTGTGGGTTGTAGACTCCGTCTCATGCTACCACTAGAGTGAAAGCACCGCCAGCATTCAAAAGTGACCAAAACATCAGCCAGGAAGCATAGGAACTGAGAAGTGGTCTGTGGTCACCACCTGCAAAACCAGTCCTTTATTGGGGGTGTCTTGCTAATTGCCTATAATTTCCACCTGTTGTCTATTCCATTTGCACAACAGCATGTGACATTTATTGTCAATCAGTGTTGCTTCCTAAGTGAACAGTTTGATTTCACAGAAGTGTGATTGACTTGGAGTTACATTGTGTTGTTTAAGTGTTCCCTTTATTTTTTTGAGTAGTGTAGTATGCTTACTTGTGTTCTTCATATTTCTCGTTTTGTTTTTCTAGTATTACATTGTTATTAATTATTGCATTGTTGGGTTTTGATTTTGCAAGACCAGGATGATGACAGCTGGTGCCATACAGATTACAAAATAACTGGGAAGAGATTTTTGTTGTACTGACTCCATGGCACAGGGTGTATGAGTTGATAGATGGTTGAGGGGCAGCTCTCGGGGAACTGTGGGGGGGGATCTTGGATGGTTGGCGGCCTGGAGGTTGGGAGCTTGGGCCGGTGGCTGATAGGTTGCTGGTTCGGGTCCCCGATTTGACTTGGTGGGAGATCTGTCGACGTGTTCTTGGGTGGGGCGCTTGACCCTGGTTGCTCATGTGGGTAGGTCTGGATGGGAGTCTGCTAGATGACTGAATGTAATGTCAATGTTGAGCAGCTTCACTGCAGGTAGATTGTATGTTTTAATATTCAATCAAAATGTTTTTATAATATTTAAATACATTCCTTAAATAAATGCATATTATAACAGACTAGACAGCTAGCACATAAGTCTGTGGCTAAAATGTTGCTACCAGTACATGGTACCGCATGCTACACTCGACAGCAACTGAGCATTAATTTTCCACAACATGTCCATTGATCCTCTTGTTTTAGTAGGGTTTGCGCAGTTCTCCATTTTTGAAGTTGAGACATAAAAGGGTATCATTAAAAAGGTTACGTTCTCGTCTATTACAGTAAAATAATGTCTTTAAGCGTTTGTGTCCTTGACTGATTCTGTTGGACCAAACCTCAAAAAGCAAGTTTAAACTGCTTGTTGTCAGAGGAATAAGTTCTCTCATCTTTGTTGCGAGTGGCAGGGGCTTGGGGTCTGTGTGCGAGAGGGAAGGTCCACAGTGCACACAGCACAGAAGGAGCAAAGGAGACGGACTAAAAAGCTATAAAGCTCATGAAAACTATTCTTGCGATACAGGGATTTGGAACATCGGACTAAAACATACATTTGAATTAATCGAATTAAAGCAGGCCTAACGCAAAAATTGCATTCCTGTGTAGATGAACAAGATGGCTCCGACAATAACGTTGGCAGTCACTCACCAGAAAATTTACATTTACGTCATTTAGCAGACGCTCTTATCCAGAGCGACTTACAAATTGGTGCATTCACCTTATAGCCAGTGGGATAACCACTTTACAATATGTATTTTTTATTATTATTTTTTTTTTCTTTCTTTGGGGTGGGGTAAGGGGGGGGTAGAAGGATTACTTTATCCTATCCCAGGTATTCCTTAAAGAGGTGGGGTTTCAAGTGACTCCGGAAGGTGGTGAGTGACTCCGCTGTCCTGGCGTCGTGAGGGAGCTTGTTCCACCATTGGGGTGCCAGAGCAGCGAACAATTTTGACTGGGCTGAGCAGGAACTGTGCTTCCGCAGAGGTAGGAGGGCCAGCAGGCCAGAGGTGGATGAACGC